GAACATAAACGGTGCGAAAACGTAAATAAAATACTCAGGGCATCAGAATGAACATTCCTTGCCGATCAGTGTCCATTAAAGATCGGGTACCAAGGAGTTTTCATAGGCAAATCTGCATTTGGAAGGGGCTGGAGGGATGGTATTTTAACCCACACAAGTCCAGGTGCAAAGGATGGGTGCAGTCAGACAGAATTTGGTCACTAAACTTTAACGCCATGGATATTACCAGAACGGATAAAGGAACTCGGGGAATACACTTAATCTCTGCGAAACTACACCTCAGCAGCTTGAAGTCAGCCTCCAGCATACCAGGGAAAGTCACATGAGAGCAGTAAGGGGCGGGAGCACACGTTATTGAACAAAAGCCCCTATCAGCGACAACTCAGAACTGAAAAGATTCGGTCTTTTCGTCTGTAGGGAGAGAACGTTCAGCTTGCGTAAGCAAAGACCTCGAAAGTTTTTATTAAGTGTGGCACAAGTCTTTCTACTACACCCTTGCGTGCTGAGCAGCAGCCTGGGTAAACCTCAGTCACGAAGACCTGCTGCTTAGTGATGGAGACCGGTGACCAATCCAAAGTGCCTGAAATAGCGCGTATGCGAAGTTAGGCTGTGTTGACCATATCTCATATCCCATCTCTAAAAATAGGCCCAGTCTCTTCTCCTCTTACACATTTTCACCTCTGTATGCATCATGAGTTTGGTCTTCATCTAACTGCCTTACGCTTCAAAATGATAATGATGATGCCCGTTCAAACTAGCTACATTTAGCGTGCGTACTCTGATACGTATAGGACAAAAGACGTGTTTAGCTCCTACCCGCGAGACCTTAGCCATCGCTGTGTATCCAATAAATTCGCATTCAAGAGTCGAGCTCCACCACCCGATTGATGTCCCCATCAACCCTTTCGCGAAGTTTGACATACATCTTTCAGAGGACCCTGAGGTTAGGGCTGGAGTCACTCCCAGCGAGAGCTGAAGCTGCGCTGATACACTAGATTCAGTAGGTTGTGCGCAGTGGAACCTAGAGGTTCGCGCAAAATAAGCAGTCATCGCTCTGAAAGACGGAGCTTATTTGTCGTCTCAGTGTACACACAATAACTGTGGCCCAGATACAGTCAGGTTGATTTTACCAAAAACTGCACGACCTCTTACGTAAAACGAACCGGACTGATTTTGTGATCTCAGCAGAAGATATGAATGCTCGAGTAGGCCGGTTGACTGTGAGTGAGGCGCATCTGGGAG